GAAATCAGTTCAGGAAAAAACTACTCTGTTAAACCAAGTGACACAGGTTCATTTCCTGAAGGACTTCTCAGAACTTTTAATACACTATACTTCCCTATTGGCATATTCGGAACAAATTAATTTTTTTTAAAAAGCCACTCTATCTATCTATCTATCTATCTATCTATCTATGGCATATTCGGAACAAATTAATTTTTTTAAAAAGCCACTGTATCTATCTATCTATCTATCTCTCTATATATATATGAGTCTTTTTGAAAGGGTCAGGGATTTAAATTTCGGCAAATAAAACCTTAACACTGCCTTTAGAACCAAAGTAGAGAAACTGTCTAAGGTTTGGTTTTATGTAAAGCAAGGGGGGTGGCACATGCTTGCACTGCGGGTATGAGAACGCTTTTGTAGTTTGGAAAAGAATTTGGGCCCCACGTCAGGACATAATAAAGTCTCTATGAACAATGACTATCTCACCAACAAACTATTTTATCTGATCAAGAAACATGACTTAAACACATCCCTATGAACTAATTTTTCTTTATGATTCATGGTGGTTAAGAGCTTTAGTTCTGGAAACAGACAAACATGAGTTCAAACCCCAGCACCACCACTTTATGTAGCTATGTGTAATCCTGGTTTCCTCATCCACAGAATGGGGATGAGAATGCTACCTACCTGTGTGTGCTGCTGTGAGAATGAGATAATGCATATAGTAAGCAGGGTATCTGGCCCCATAGTAATCATGTGACAAACAACAGCTAACAATTGTTTTTATTTTTATTGGAACTTGGACTTTGACTTTATTAACTTTTAGTTAAACTGTTTTCTGTGAAGCAAAAGGAGACAGGGGCTAGTAACTGTGAAAAGCTACCAACACGTTGACGTGGAAACTTTTCCTGGTTCACGTCTCAAAATTGAGCTAGAACTTATCAGCCTCTAGAAACATAGATAATATCATGGACAAGACAACTCGACACAATTACTTAAATCTAAAGGAAACATATAACATTAAGGAAATCAGTGTCCTTTCAGCGACCTGAAGATTTCAAGGAAGGGCAACCCTGCCACCTTGTGGCCCTAGGCTGATCTCTCCCTAGCAGAGATCACTCTCAGATCTTTGCCCACCTCTGATTTTTAGGAGACCTATGAGCAGTGTATCACCTCATTTGTGCCCATTCTCCAAATTTAGAATCATATTATCTCTTGGTTTACTGGGAAGGAAGTTAAAGTGCCAGGTAGCGTTCTGTATTTTAGTAGTAGACAGGGAATGAATCAGAGTCTTTAGTGGGATTTGCATATTGAAAAAACCTCAAGTTGCTCATAAAATTTTGTATCTCATATTTCTGCGGAACTGATATTTTTTTCAGCCAAATAGGGGCTATGAAAACCACACTTTCTGCAAGCTTGAGGTCTAAATAGGAGGTGACTGAAGAACACTTAATAGAAACCGTATTTCTGGATCAGTCTTTTGGACCAGATTACTTCTAACTCTCTTCTCCCTCCGGTATTAGGGAATCAGAGTATGGGAATCTTTATGGCTGGAAACGGGCTACAAGGTCCTCTTTTTAGAACAACAGGACTTCTGGGCTCTAAATCTCTGTGGTCATGAAAAGATATAAACCTGAAAATCAGGAACTATATAAAAGGCCTTAACTTAGATAATTTTTTTTTTCAGCTGTGATTAAAAGCAGTCCAGTTATCTTAGTTCACTTTGGCTTGCTATTTGGATCAAGAAGAGTCCCTGCTCTTTAAGGAGAAAACCAGACTCTAGTACCATTTTGGAGGCCTATTAGAAGAGCTGGTATTTTAGGGGTATAGTCAGTCACATGGTAAAATAGTCCCTCAGTCAGACTGAGTTCAGCCTTCTAGCTCACTAAGGCAGTGATCTGGTGCTAGAAGGAGAAATTGAAGGCAAGAGCCAAGAAAAGTACATTAACAATTTTCTTCTTTCTTCTAGGTCTCTTGTTATCAGTAAAGAGAAAACCTCTATACAAGTTAGCCACAATAAAGCCAACCTTGCTGATAATGAATCTTTTGGACCACAAAATATCTTTATCGACACTGACAGCAGGGGCAGATCAAAAGCAGAACTAAAGACTCGAGGGAAAAAGGGGCCACTTAGCAGCAGCATTACAGGTAAAATAACTAAGAGCCATAAGATACTAGGATCCTGATCTATAACTTGGGGGGAAGAAATCATTTTTTGGACACATGCTTTCTTTAGGTTAGTTTCTTATGTCACTGGGACTCCATTACCCTCCACTAGAACTCTGATTTCATTCCTTTCAGTTCTGATTTTTAAAAGAATTCTGCAGTGCCTAAGTAGTTTATTAGTGAATATTTGAATATAGTATTTGGAAGTATTTTTAGCAAAACCTGTTTGAAGTCAGTAAGACAGCTTTGTGAGGAAAATTTTTAATAGTCTTAAATATTCGCCCCGATCCGATTTACTAAAGTCATACAATGTTAGGAGTTTTTTGATTCTTCAAAATGAAGAAACTAGAGACAAGACTAATTTTTGTTCAAGGTCAGCCTGGTGATTACAAAGCAGACTTTTTGAATTACAGATAATTACTCTTTCCATCTCACTATGTGAGCTCTACCAAACTGGATTAAAAATGCTTTTTAGGAAAGGAATGCTCACTGAGGTTGTTAAAAAGAAATTGGCGATCTCGAATTATATTCCTTTCTCCTTCATGTATTCAGGGACAAAGGAGAAGTTGTATTAGTTTGAGTTTACACTACAAAAAACTTTTATTTTTCCCTCTTTGTTTCTGTTACCTGAGCTGATTTAATGAAGCTCAAAGACCCTGTGTCCTTGGGGATCCAAGTGCCTATCAACATCTTCCTCACTCAGTGCTTATAGAACATTTTGGTACTTAATTCAAGAAATTATTTCCTTTCGGTCATTTGTTCAGTCTGTAAACCTAACAATCAACCAGTACCCAAGTAGTGTTCTGCTGTGGCAGAGGTACAAGATGCCAGTTAATCCAGTGGCTTTCTCTTGGCATGGATGCTCCCCCTTAGCTAATTCCCAGAATGCTTTAGGCTTGGCACCCAGGACCAAGGTCTCAGGTTACAGCCCTGACTAAAGGCATCTATATTCTATTGACCTTCTCAGCAGTGCTTATTAACGGATCACCTGGCCTGTCACTGCTAATTTTAGCCCTGTCTGGAGGTGGGACTGCTGTTCTTACTCAGAACATTCTGAACTGACTACAGTAGCTAGCCTTAAAAGAGTTGCTTCCATTTTCACATATCCAGCTGAAAATGTATTTTCAACGACTGTGATAAAAACGAAGTACCAGAAAGAAGTAGCCATCCACTTTGGGTAGCACTACAATTTTTAAAATTTTACTATTTTGTAAGACCCCAAAGCCTTAAGATCTCCAAACTGACAAGCCTATATCAATAAAAATGGCATAAAGGATAACACTGCAAAATACAATTTTATGGCATAAATTTGCATTTGAAATGTTTTTAATATTTCTAGTGTCTGCATAAAATTGATGTCCATTTTCTGAAATTTTGATTGTTAAAATGTTTCATGAAATGGTGATAATGGTACTGTTTTAATATCCTCATACTTGACAAGATAAGTTGATAACCTGTTGGTCCCCAAAGTTTTAAAATTTTACTATTTTGTGAAATCTCCAAGTTTTAAGAAGCTACATTAGAATGTTCAGCATAATACAACCTAATATAAAGTTGCATTTTTACCTGGAAAACTATAGGTAAAAACCAAACTACTTCTAAATTCATTCAGTGGGAACCAGCAATCTGGATAATCCAATCCAATCAAATATTTGATGTTTCTAGCAGACCTGAGCCAAAAGGTCATACACAAGTCTTAACATTCTTTTATTATTCATTCATTTGTGTTTACTCTTACATTCTTTTAAATTAGCTAAAAGGCAGTGAAACTTTTGAGGTGGATGAAGGTTAGCAGCTCTTTCCTGCAAACTCTGTGCCAAGTTAGGAGGAAAAAAAAAAAAAATCAAGCCCAGATCAAACTGTTCTCCATACAGGTTTTAATAAACATTTATTTAGCAAGCATGAAAAAAAACTTGACTCGACCTGTCTGTTCTGTAAGTTCAGTGAGGCCCTACTTCTTGTAGTTCGCTCATCTCTTTCCATGAAAGGTCCATTTAAGGCAAACTTGATAATATTCCAGAGATAGGATCCTCTTATCCAGTCATCAACAAGCAACAAGAAATCCTTGGACAAAATGGCAGGAAGCAAGGCCATTTAGGCGTCAAGCCTCAGGCACCAACCCTAATGGTACAGGCTACAGGCCTCACTAGAGATACCTTTCTCATGCAAGGATAGGGAACTACTCTAAAATAACTTAGTCAGTTCCCATATCCTGAGTACTTCTAGTTTTACCAAAGAGAGCCACACCTAATAGGTATCTACTGATCAACAAGCTATTAATTACAGAAAGAAAACCTACTTCACACATTACTCTAATTATCAAAACCTCTGGCAGTGACTAAGATATGGATACCAGAAGCACTTGTAAGAGTTGCCTGTCTCATTTTTCATTAGGGCGCTGGCTGTCCACCCCTGCAATCCATGTTTAGAGCTGCCAGCTAACTGCTGCTGGGGCATATAAACCCGACACGTGTGAAAAATGTTAATAGATAACTGGGAAAAGAAAAAATACTACACAATTTCCCCAATTTCTCAGGACTCAAAAGATTTTATTTCAGTGGGGACAAGAAACAAGCAGTGTGAAGACAGAGAAGGAGAGGAGGGAGTCCACATTGTTCTGGAAAATTTCCCACCCTAAACTGCTGGGAATGCCACATGCTGCCCTTTCAACAACTATTACTAGTTACTTGATGGCACCCCAGAAATTCTGTGGCTTCTTATCATATGATTGTGTTACAGGATTTATTTTTTTTAAAAAGTAGAATTTGACAAAACATTTTATTTTTTGAATCATTTCATCAATTCTAGGTGGTAGCACATCATCATCAAATAGGGAATAAGCAAATTAAAAATGGAAAAATAGTTTACCTACTCATACATAGTAAGCACAATTTACTGAAAAGAAAACGAAATAAACTTCAAAAAGGCAAAACTAAAGGTCTTAAAAATAAGATTATATTCTACATGTGACACATGAATTTGTGGTCACCAAAACGTCCTGCCATCTGATTAAAAATGGAAAAATAGTTTACCTACTCATACATAGTAAGCACAATTTACTGAAAAGAAAACGAATAAACTTCAAAAAGGCAAAACTAAAGGTCTTAAAAATAAGATTATATTCTACATGTGACACATGAATTTGTGGTCACCAAAACGTCCTGCCATCTGAGGAAGCCCTCCCCCTATTGGTGTTTCCTAGGAACTAGAATAAAGTTAAACTAGTGAATTCCTAGATCAAATAGAATACACATAAATAACAAATTCTTTATTAAATTAGCACCTTGATGTTATGGTGATTTAGAAAGAATTAAATTCATTGGCTTCTGAATTCTAACAGCTAAAGATATATGCAGCTAAAATGATAGTCTAAATGTACAAAAATGTCAGTCTTTACTAAATTGATATATACTTTAAATTCTTCATAGTTTCAAATTTTTAAAAATACATTAGATCAAAATAAATTCAGAACTAAATAATTGGAATTAAATTGTGACTAATAAGATGCTAAAAGATCATCTGAAAGTGGAAGTTCTTTCATCTAATATTTACTGAATGCCTATTATATGCCAGGCACTGTTCTAGGTACTGGATACCAGTGAACAAAAACCAAAAATAACTGTGCTATTTTAAATTTAAAGGAAAACTGTAGTCCTTGAAATGTTGGCTGATTGAATATTTTCATAATTATGTTTTAGATTTGTTCTATTCTTGATGTTTATCTAAATAAAAAATATTTGGACATTTAGTAGATTCATTTGTTTCCTTCTTGAACATATACTCCACAAAACTCCAACTTTTTTGTACTAGCTGGGCATCCTGAGACTGCCTGGGAGACTTAGGAGTTACTGGGTACTCACCTTGGGCTAGATACACAGAATTGCATATGTGCCTGGGAGCAGTGCTTACAGTTGTTCTGGGGGATCCTTTCTCTGGAGTGCTTTGTTCCTATACTTTCCAAACCAATTTCCTCCAATACTATGTGGCCTATTTTATGGTGCATTTCATTCAATGGTTCTCAACCATCAACAGTAGGGGGCACTATTTACTTGGGGGAAGGAGTGGTCACGACTGGTATTTGTAGGTAAGGGACAGGGAGACTAAATGAATCCTGTAATGGGATGACAGTTTTTACCCATAAAGAAGTATCTCACTCAAATGTCCAATGGTGCCTGCCCACCTAGAGACACTGAGTTGTTGTCACTTGGTACAGAAATTTCATTTTAGTTCTGTATTTTTCTATAAGAAGATAAGTCGGATAATTTTAGTATTATATTTTATTAAATAAATACATACCACAAAATTAATTCATTGAAAATTACTCAAGAAATGAAAAATTCACTTAATAACTGGTTTTCTACACTAGTTTGGTTGAGAAACTCTTATAGGGAAATAGAAGATATCTAGTAAGTACCTTCTGTAGTATTCACTATACTCAACAGTTTTGAGAACAAGAAGAAAATCTGTAACACTGAAGACTATTTTCTATCTTGTTCTTAGATTTCTTCGAAATGTATACTTTAAAAATAAATCATATTATTCAGACCTTTTGGTAATGCCTAAACTTCAGAAGGTTTACAAAGAAAGCACATGTAAAAGCAGTCACTTCAATGCAATTAAATGCTATTTTTTTTTAAAGTATCCTTTAAAACAGTGTTTCTCAAACTTTAGCATACATTAGAATTTCCTGGTGGGGAGAGCTTTTTAAAAATTACAGCTTGCTGGCCCACTTCAGAGTCTCTGACAAGTTCCTAGGTAATGCTGATGCTGCTGGTCTGGGCACAGCACTGCGAGAACCACCGCTTTAAGATATGTTCTCGAACTCAAGCTGATGAGTGATGCCCTCAGCCTCTGCTTTCCCTAACAGTAAATAAATAAAAGAACATTTCAGATATGACTTCATCAAACTTTACATTTTTAGATTCTTGAAATGTCCAACTTAAATAGAATATATAATTTATTCATCCTGGCTCAAAATTATTCCCATGAGTTCAAAGGACAGAACCACAGGACAGTCTGGTACTGGATAATCTATGACACTGTGAAAACACTTACAAAATACACAGCAACTATGAGGGTACAGGGATCTTGCTCCTATCTTCTCCATGCTTCTTCCCTTGAGAAAATCCAACAACAAATCATGAAGAGTACTAAACCCAGAACAAGCACATGACCTGTCATGAATGTACACATAAACGTCACAATGCATTGTCATACTTAAGATTCAGATTCAGGAACTTCTTCGTCAGGGCAGCAGTAATATTCCACAAAACATATTTGTCCATCTTCGTTTCTAATCATATACTGTAATGAGAGGAATCCTCGGTTATCTGTCCGAATAGATACCTTACAGGACAGGACTAATGCCTTTGTAGAGGGTTTCAGTAAAGAAATCTTGTATCTGTAGGACAGTAAGTAAAAAGGTGTCATTTAGTCACACTTAAAGCAGTGCACATAACTCTAAGGACAAAAATTAGCCAAGAACTACTAAGTAGCAAATATAAGAATCAAATCCAATACTTGTCCAATTAGCTAACATTTTCTCTTCATTAAAAAAAAAAAAAAAAAATTGCATCCACTATTAGAATCCAAAATCCCCAAGTAAACTCAGCACCTTACTGTTCATTTTTTTAAAAAAATGTTACACTTTCATCAATAGATTGAGAGTTAAAAAAAATTTACTTAATAGAAACTTGGTATTTAACCTTACCTTCAACACTATTGGCAACCTCTATATTAAGAACTGACCTGTTGACCTGGGTCTGATTACAATTGAATGATTCCATCAAATCAGAATCTTTGGGATAGTCAAGGTGGGAGCTTCCTGCATTCCCAAAAGTAGATAACCTAGAGCAGAAAATGAACAAGTCATTTATTCATTGGTCCAGCATAAGCCACATTAGGATCCAAATAAAGAAAACACTTCTTTAACTCATTCTAGTGAAACGGGTACGTAAACAAATGTTGACAACACACTATTAGAATCACCATAATAAAGATTCCCACAGGGGAACTAGCAACCAATAAATAGCTTTGAGAAATATCAGCCCAAAAGGAATTCAGAGGTTTTTGCCTCAATTTCATTACCTTACACCTACTCTGATATTGACCTTTCTTCATTCTTAAATCAGAAATACATAATAGAGGAGAGCTGAGTAGTGATGGAAGGCCCTGACCCACATCAGCTGCATGTAGCCTAAGGTCCTGCTCCTTATCTTTACTGTCACACCAAAAGCAACGGGCTTTTCTGAATCTCAGACTACTCTTTAGACTGTTTAATGGTTTTCCTTGCTTGGTAATATCAGCAGTTTGTGTGCAGACAATTTATAAATGTTTATGTGTTTACTTAATCTGCAAGAACATACTGATCATTCGCTATGGGGATAGCACATTGATTAGTACGATATGAGCACAATCATAGAAGACCTCGGTGCTGGTTTGCCCCTGGACCCATCTTTTCTCTCTTTTAACGTAACCTCTTTCTCTGAGCTATCTTGTCCATGCCCAGCCATGGATGAGACTAGTCCAGTCTGGACTGACTTCCTGAGCTCTGTATATATCCAACTACTTTCTGTTGTCACAGGCACCTTAAATTTAACATATCTAGAAAAAAAATTTTCAATTCCCAGTTCTATACCACCAAATCATTTCTCATCTTAGAAATGTGAAGTAACCACGAATCCAAGCTGAGAGAGATCATTTAGATGGGGAGCCTCTAAAATACTCTGTTTAAGTGCCTAGAATCTTAAATCATATCACTGCTTAAGTAGGGTTCTACTGATTTCCCTTTTGGTTAACATTTTACAGACTTTGAGCCAAATTTTTAAGTGCTTAATGCCATGGGAAGGGCTCTGAGTTCTTCTAAAGTAGATATATATATATATAATCCTTTACTTATTAACACTCTAAAATATTTCAAAAGAGAAGAAATATTTAAATTCTCTCCCTAAATTGATTCTAATCCTGAAAAGAGCTTGCCATTTCATAATTTTCTGAGTCGAAATATCAGGAGCAGCTTGATAGTTTTTGACATTGTTTTCCTGCTGGAAATTGCCCTCCCTTAGGAAGCTTACCTTGACCAGTCCTACGTATTCATGTGTTGGCTCCCTAAGTATGTATATTACCTTGCAGTTTTGGTCCTTCTGTGCTGTTTCACATATTTCCTCTTTACCTCGATTTTAAGCTGTTCTTTCTTGTGATGCTTAATAAGGTAGATATGCACACAGTCGGCGATCAATAATAGATACTCAGTGAATAAACCATGCATAGAAAAACATCTACTTCCTTTTGCATCCTGTACTAACTTGAAAGAAAAAGAGAAGCGATATAATACAAACACCTTTTCTAAAAGTTTATGCCTAATTTCCCTCATGATGTATGCAGATCTACAATAGTTTAGTACGATGAAAAGATCACTAAATTATGATTAGAAGACTGAGCTACTCCTCTAGAAACCAACACTTTGTAATTATGAAGCTTTAAATAGTGAATTAATCTTCCTGACTAATAAAAGTGTGCAGAGTAAAAGCTTTCCAAAGTTCTGAAAATTCTAGGAACTTGCATAAAAGTTCTGCGTCCTAAGCAAACGCACAAGTAGAGAGATGGAGCAGACTACATTAGCTATAATTGCACTGCTTTCAAGTACCTAAAATAAGGCTTGTCAGGAGACATGGTGATCTGTAGGACCTCACTTGTCATGTCCAATTCGGAAAATGCTTCACGGAGACCCTCTGATTGCAGAATGATTTTATTAATAACATTGGTGCTGCAGAAATCAAAATCCAGCGTTTCCTCAGGCTCCTGAGTATTGATTTTACAGACTGTCACCACTCCTCCTTCTTCCAGAAATAGCATCAAAGGGTAACCATAACCTTGGTAACACATTCGAAGTGCAGTTAAAGTCCCTGCAATGGAAGTAAATCATACTTTGGGCTCAGCTTTATAACCCTGGGTTCAGCTTCCAAAGCTGAAACATAAAACTCCTCAAGAATACTTTATTCTATCCAATTTCTAGCATACGTGTATGTCTCTCTCTATAAGAAAGGATCACGTGTTCCCTGATGACAGCAGTATGTAGACAATTCCAAAAACAACTGCAAGAAAATTAGGAACCAGAACAAAATGTAACTCTCTGAAATATTCCAGCTTGTCAAAAGACCTCAGAAATACCTTATTGATTATATCTATATATATAATTTCGGGATGGAGAATCTACATGGTCCAATACTGCAAGTAATGGAGTTGTTGCTGCTCCAGCTATGCTATTTATTGAAGGTTCAATTTGTGCAACAGTGGATTGCTCTGACAGTCTGTACTATGATGTCAGTGTATTTACTATAATAAGGATCCTTCTAGCTTTTTCTACTGGGAGACATTTCCCCAAGTTTTAAGATCAAATTGGGAGAAAGAGAGAGAGTGGTTCATAGTGGTTAGGATTTTAAAACTGCAACCTCTAGAGAGGAAGAAGAAGATGACAGGACATTCTAAGCTCCTCTTCCTTACTATAGGATGGAGAGCCATAGTAAGGAATGGAGGAAGCAGATGAAAATCCAGCTGCGTTAGAAAACGCATAATTAATAATAATGGAATTGTCGATAAAAAATTAAAATATATTTTCTAGAGAACCATAACTGAATTTTCCCTAGCTAGTCTCAGATTCTTTTCCTATGAAATGAAATTATTCTTCTAGTGATTTCTTAGTTTTATATCCAGAGCAACCAAATTCACTATTCCTAAAAAAATCCCACAACAAATAAAATATATAAATATTTTAAAGGAAAGCATTTAAGAAAATAGACATAATTTTAAACAAGGCTTAATGGGGAAAAAAAGCAAACAAATTTTGAATGCAGTAAACTGGGAGTCAGGAGAACTGGTTTCTATTTTTCTCTGCCACTAACTGTAATACAGGACAAGTTAGCGAAAAGAGGCAATTAAAACATATTTTACTTGTTAGATACATTTGACATGTTCAAAGTCTTCTTTTGGTCAGTTCAAATTTAAAACCCTAAAAGCTTTGTAAATTAAAAAAAAGATGAATGTACATACTTTTGCAAATATGAACCCATAAGCACACTTTCTATTAATATTGTGTACTCAGAATCCATGATTGTGACTGATGAAAAGTGAATTGGCAAGTCATATATTACTTATATTCTAATAACTTTTCCTGTATTATTCTGACCATTCTGTATGCTCTTATGTCATTATAATGATAATAAAATGGTTCACCTGGCATAGGACTTGATCCAAAAATAGATAAGCAGTCTAAAAGGACAGTTAAATTAATTCGAAAAGTAACAGGCTCTTCCTGAACTTTAAACTCTTGAAATATTCCAGCCTATGAAGAAAAGTAAAATATGAAAAAATATATATTAAAGAATGAAAACTTACACATAAGGTTTTAGATTTCACTTGACATGTTTAAAAAAATAATATTGTGCTAATCCCATGAAAATCATTTCTGATTACCAATCAAAAAATCATAAGCTTTTTCAACTATCATCCATTAGAATAACACTACTCAGTAAAGGTATAACAGTCATTTAGGTCCCATGTAAAACTTTATGAAAGGTCCTTCATCTAACTTCTTGGATCTAAACTATTCCCCATGTGACTTTCCCGTCTCCTTTTCATGGCCATCGGTACAGTTAAGGTCATCTGGAAAATAGCCAAACAGTTTAATAATGCATGAATGATATTAGTTTTCAATTTCTTTTGAGGTCAGGAACCATGTTTTATTTATCCCTGAAGTCATACTGTACACTTAGGTGTTCACCAAAAAAAATGCTGAATTAAATCTGAAATTTGAACCATACAATTATTACTTTGTAAGAACAAATTATATTATAACCAATAAAAAGAAAAAAATGTATTTTTTAATAGGGAGGTGTAGTAGTAAAGAGCATATACTCTAGAAACATATGTTCTGGATTCTCATCCCAACTCAGCTGCTTGTAAGCTTTCGTGCTGCTGGCAAATCGCTTAAACTGTACCTCAGTTTCCACATCTGTAAAATAGAAATAATAACAGAGCCTACTTCATAGGACTATTGTGAGAGTTAAGTGAGTTAAACATATAAACACTCAGAAGAGTGTCTGGCTTATAATTTAGCTTAATAATTTTTAGACATTATTTTAACCATTATCTCTGTAAAACAAGATGGGAAAAGAATTTGTTACTATGAGAGAAAAAATTCAAATAATGATGTTATCTATCTTAAATGTCTATTAAGACCTTAGGAATTCATTGAACTGGATGAGAAATACCATGTCACAGGCTTTAAGGTGTCTACTTCAATACCTGAATAAAAGCATTTGCTTGCACACACTTTGCATTTTCCACTGTAACCTTGATTCCATTTTTAGTAGCGAAACACGTAGCATGTTCTCGGAAATGAATAGCCTTCAAGATAGTGGAGAGATTCCTAACGTTGTCGAGGCTGGCCACCAAGCTGTAATCATTCTCATCTTGGATCTGTTGGTTTAGGAGGGGCATCTTCCAGTGCACTCTCGGCCCTAAGGGCTGCTCCTGGGGTCAACACCTGCTCCCGTGGATCACGAAACACCTGATGAGATTCAACAATAAACTCCCCGTCAATGCTGGCAAGAGGCCCGCGATCTCAACCTGCGCTGTGGCCAAGTGGAAGAGGCCTGGGTGTTGAACTTGGCCGACCGGGGACTGAATCCCGCCTCTGCCACTTAACTGTCTCTGTCACTGGGGGAAATTACTAATCTCTCTAAACTACGGTTTCCTTGTCATTAGTAAGGGGACAGTTACACATGAAAAGTTGTGAACAATGAAAACCACCAACTCTGTAGTTCTACTTGGGGCTACGTATCCCCAGTCGGTTTTGAGCTGTCCAGCGCTCTACACCTTTCATCTAAAAGAACAGGCACTTGGGAGGGTGGGCCCGGATTCCTCAGAAGATCCTCCTTGAGTCCCAGACAACCTGGTTCACCAGCCCGCCGCGGGCGGCATCTGTGTACTGGTCCCGGGATCCCAAGGCGCGGAAACCCTACCTTTGCAGTGGGGCCCGGGCACCTGAGAGCCCTTCCCAGCCAGGTCACCGGGGAGCCACCTGCAGACCCTGGAGAACTGGCGAGGAAGTGGAGCAACTCCCGCCACCCTTTTTAGATCAGCTGGCCACCTCGGCCACCGTCACCACGGAGTTAAACGAAGCCTAGAGAGCCGAGCGTGCAGTGCCACAGGGACCGGAAAAAGGCACCAGAGAGCTGGAGGACCACGGAGCCGAGCGGGAGGTACCATAGAGATCGGAAAGGGGAGCGAGCGGCAGAGCCGGAAGGAAGTCCAAGAGCCAAGGCGGTGAGGCAAGATGGCGGCGACCAAGAGAAAACGGCGTGGAGGCTTGGCGGTTAAAGCGAAGAGGCCAAAAAGAAACGAAAAAGATGCCAGGCCGCCAGCTAAGCAGCGCGACATGGCAGAGGAGGCAGAAGAAGAAGAGAGAGACCGTATCCCAGGCCCTGTTTGCAAGGTAGAGGGGGTTACCCTCGGGTTACACCTGCGGCCGCGGCTCCGCACGCCTCTCTTGGAGTTACCTACCTAAGTACGGCTGTGCGGATTTTGGAGTTACTCGGGTGTTGCTGGAGCTGGGTCTCAGCTCTCCTGGCCGGACAGGCCACTGCGTTTACATCTAACTTTCATGCACGTGGCGGCTTTCTTGGATGCGGCCTGCTGAGCAACTGGGCGGGCTTCAGAGCTTTTACCCGGCTTATGGGAAATCGGCTTATGGTGTACTACTCAGTTCCAGTGTTATGCCTCCTAGCTATTTTATTTTCCTTGGAAGCATAGAACTTTTCCTTGTTATTTCTATGGAGTATATCCTTTACAGTGATTAGTATACCCATATTCTGCCCTAGTTAACTATTGTCAGTCAAGGATCCTGGAACCTTGTAATGTGGTTCTTTTAAAAGTTGTGGTCCTTGGGACTGTGATTTTAATCTTTAACTCTCAAGGGATAACGAAAGGTAGAGTAAATGGTACGAGCTTTACTTGTGTTTAACAAACTTAACGTGCCAGGCACAGTACAAAGTTGGGTTTCCCCTGCTTTGGAATTGCAAACGGAGAACGTGACCTCATTTTCCTGAAATGTTGGAATTTAAAAGAAAACAGAATTCATGTAAATTGACGATTTTTATTTAAAAGAAGGTGAATATGAATGGACCTAACTTTCATTCAACTGAAGGCTCCATAAGCTAGATCGAATACGGTGAAGACAAGGGGTGCCTTTGATTTATTGATTTCCATGCCCCCTCCACCCCCTGCCCCAGCTTAGCATAGTACCCTAGCACACAGTGATTGATAATAATTAAATGACTGTGGTGGCAAGTACTAGGAAAGGCGTTAGCTCTGAGGAATGAGAGATGAGTTTAAATTTTACCTTTGCTATTAACAGTGAATTTTGAGCCTTTTTCTCATTTGCATATTAAAAGGAAGGAAATATTTACTTTTTGTGAAGAATAAGCTGGACTTCTAATAGATTTTTAGCAAATGCTCACACTGTTCCTTGAAGGATCTAGCAAGAAATATAGTATTAGTGGTCTAAGTCATAATATAAAAAATTCTATCAAAGTACAGAAGATAGAGATTACTTTTACTCTAAGATTATCTGGGTAGGGATCAGGAAGGATTTAGCCTTTGAGGTGGATCTCAAAGTAAGTCAGAATTTCCATATTCGGAAATGAGAGAGAAAAATACCTGGAAGAGAGAAAAAACTGATCAAAGATGTTTAAGTGTGGGAACTGCTGAAAATTTAAAAAACAGTTGGATTGGCTAAAGTTTAGGGTTGATTTGGGACAATCCGAGGTGAAAATATAAATGTATTCTAGAATTCAGTGTTAAAAGTATGTCATTTCGTACTTTGTTTAGAAAACCCAGGAATAGGGTTTTCTAGTAAGGATGTGATTGGAGGTAGCAGTGCTTTAAGATTAAGCTAGTGCTAGCCTGGCATATTGGAGGAGTTCCTTGCTGGGAAGGCTAGCCATTTAGATTATTTGCAGTTGACATGAGATCATATGGATCTGAAGGAGGGCTGTGGAAATAGGAAAGGGTTACAAATTGTTGCAAAGAGAAACTGACAGCATTTGGTAGTGCTTATGATATGAGAGAATAAGGACAGATGGAAGATTCAAAGCCTGATGGTGACATCAGAAAAAATAAGTAATAAACAAATATACCAGGTTTAAGGTTTAAATATTCTAGAATTGAATTTGAGATTGGTAGAGCTGGAAAGAGTTCTTTACCTTTTTTGTGGAGTTGACAATTGAAGCTGTGGGAATGATAATGAGAGCTCTATTCTGGTGAGAACAGAAATAAAAGAGGGTAAGAGAATCGTTAGAGACAGGAGGAGGAATTGGAGAGACTGAAGAAAAAAGAAACAAAAAAGGAAAGGAAGCCAATGAGAGCATTTCTGGGTGGCCGCTGGGTTCAGTACATGCTACTGAGAGATCAAATTAAAGGTTTAGGTAGGATTGTTTGACTTGCTACTTGGAAGTTTTATCTTTAAACAAACAAACAAGGTCGGTTCAGTATGAGTTTAGTATGAGATTTAAAAATCTTTTAACAATTTCTTTTTCTTCAGGGCAAGTGGAAAAATAAGGAACGGATTCTCATCTTTTCTTCCAGAGGAATAAATTTCAGAACAAGACATTTAATGCAAGACTTAAGAATGTTGATGCCTCATTCTAAAGCAGGTGCCTTTATGTCATATACTTTAAAATTCATGTCTATAAACTTGCCTGTTTATATATTTCTGCTTCAAGTCACACTTCAGTTTTTCAGTCTTGTGAGATAAAGAACCACTGTTCTTCAGAAGTGTATCTTTTCAGTGCCAAGTTTTTCTAATTAACATTTTGTCATAAATCCTTTGCAAATTTATCAGATATTCTCTTCACTGTCTTAAACAGATATATCTAATTACTGAAACAGTTCTTGAAGGTCCAGAGATGCCTTCATTGTGATGTTCTCAGAGATCATGGTTTGTCCTTTTAAATGATTCAGGACTGCAATGTACTGCTTTCTGCATTTAAAAAACAAACAAACAAAAAAAACAAAAAACTTTTTTTTTTTAATTAATGGACCTGGAGTAGGATTTCAGATATATTTAAGTTGGGGCCAAGCTAATCCTTTTAACAATAGAATATCTTACAGGCAAGTGAAGAACATCTAGTTTTAAGATTAGATCTGTGGCAGTGCAGTCATGTAGCTGTCTTTGTGCCTGTGTTGGGAGATGCTGTTGGTTTTAATTCTAGGTAATGACTTGGTTCTTTAGATCAGTGTTTCTCAAACTGATATCCCCAGTTATATCTTCAGATCTCTGAAACTAATAAGAGAAATTTTAATTTGTACTGGTTTCTTTTTTCCTATGATAATCTAAAACCATGTGTTTTTTCTTATTAGTTTTCTTTGGCAACTGATTCAAAATTGAAAGAAATTTTCGTCACTTCGAAAATTTTAGTTTCTTAAGTGAATGTTCTTTAAACTGAAATCTCAGACCATAGTCTTCAATTGTGAGAATTTTTCCATTTTTATAAGGAATTCATAGAATATATAAAGTCTGAGAAACACTGCTTACATCATTATTTATAATTCCTGAGGACTATTTTTGTTACTCATTTTTACATTTAAAAAATAACCAGGATTTGTAATGAGGTCGTATTTTCAGATCCAATCATCTTAAATATTAATAAAATCTCATTTAAACTTGATTATGAAAACACTTAAAATAATTTTCTAGAAAGCATGTGTGATTTGATTGAAGTAGCTTCGAAATCTTTTGTTTATTTGCTTATTCTTTTTTTCTTTTTATAGATACTAAAATGGATCGTAAAGATAAGTTATTTGTGATTAACGAGGTAATTTTAGAAAATAATTAAGTACAAAATATTTTGGAGCACTGAAGATGCTTCATTTTAAAGTTAGTTACGCTGTGACTTTTAAATTGTTAAGACAGATATTATTAAATCTTCAATAAACTACCTTCTAATTTTTTTTAATATTTATCGTCTTTGTATTATAGTTTAGTGCTTCAGTATATATTATTTCTTGATTGTTCTTATATTAATCTAGTTCAAATAAGCATATCGATATTTCCTGAGGATGAGGATTCTATCTCATTCTTTTTTTTCTCATTATGTCTAGTGTAGTGTGAAATGCATGGTAAAATGACCAATATATATAAAATAAAATTAAAAACTTATTAAATATTTTTAAAACCCCACATTGTAAGAAGCATTTTGTCAGTATTAAAAGTGATACATGTGGTATTTGCTGTTAAGGTATTACAAACTAGTGATATGTTAAATTTTCAGTGTTGTTGAAGATACTAACCTTACATTTTAAGGCAGATTTTAAAAACTTAGCAGAATTTTCTAAAGATAATTTTCTTTAGCTATTAGAAAGGCTTTTATTCATTTAGCACAAATTTTTGCACCTCTGCTATATCATGGCATCACTCTCCATGCTGTGGAAATAGTATTTTACAAAACAACACCCCTGGCATCGTGGAGCTTCAATTCTGATGGGGGAGCTAGGCCATAAACAAGTATTATAATTTCAAGCGAAGACAGGAAAAATAATGGTATGAGCTTCCAGCAACTGAAGCTGGACTGGAAAACCCACTTAGTGTTGCTCTGTTTATTCTAAAACCAGTAAGAAACAAAAGCATTTTTAAGTTATTAGGTTTAAAGTCTTAAGTAGTTTAGGATTTATGAATATCATATCAGATAGTTTATGAATACTGTAGTTGTACAGGACTTCATTCTTGTATTGCTTACATATATATTTCTCTATTGTGACTTTGTAAACCTTCAAGATGTTGAAGTTTAATTCAACTTGGAATAGGTTTTGTATACACATGCTTTTCACCAGTCCCTTGGTGATTTTATAGAACCAAATGACAGATATGATAGTTTTAATGAAGAAGAAAACGTAAATGTCTTGATCTTAAAAAAACTAGAGTTAAAAATCAGAATAACCATTATAAAGGATGTGTTGGTTCCACAAGGACTGTATTCTCCTAAGATTAGTAAAGCTAATATGGTGCTTTATTCCTAGAGCATCTGTTTTCAGTCTTTGTAGTTTGTACATGGGACTGGTCAGAAAAAGAGGTTCTCAGTAACCAGAAGTGAGACCAGTTACTTTAAAATGCTTGGCCGAAGAGAGTAGATGTTTGCACCAAAGAGGTGGGCAGAGCATCTAGTTTACCTTAAGAAGACTATCTGAGAGGAACTTGAAAGATTTCTTTCTGTAAATGAATAAGTTTACCTAGATTTAGACCTTGTAGCCTATTAATCTGCTTAAATATTTTTTGAAGAATGTAGGTATTATTTGCATTGAATTGCTTTTAGTTCTCATTCTATTATCTACTTCATTTTTCTATACTTTGCTCCATTTAGGTTTGTGAAATGAAAAACTGCAATAAGTGTATCTATTTTGAAGCTAAGAAGAAACAAGATCTCTATATGTGGTAAGAAGATGTATTAAGTAAGATCCGGAGTGGAATTTGTTCTTTTAAATGAATTTATTCTTTGTACCTCTTATTGCAGACTCCTTTCAGTCTTTGTTTTGTTTTTGTAAAAAAAAGCAGGGCCAGGGGATAAAGTAAACTATGATTTCACAAACGTTGAAACCTTTAAAGAAAATTAAATGGATGAATATTATGAGCACATTCTGTTTTTTAACTGTGAAACATAATAAGCATTTACTGCATTCTAAATTCTACTTAGTAGAAAAACCATCCTTCATATTTTTCAGGCTTTCAAATTCACCTCATGGACCATCTGCTAAATTTCTAGTTCAGAATAGTAAGTTGACTCAATTTAAATTTTTTTTATGAGAAAATTGAAAATCTTTTGGGAGAGTTGTGCCAAAGATATAACTATTTTTTTGTTGTTGTTATAATTTTTCTAGTTCATACCCTAGCTGAACTAAAGATGACTGGAAACTGTTTGAAAGGTTCTCGGCCCCTTTTGTCTTTTGACCCTGTAAGTTTTTCATTTAGTATATGAAGTCTAATTTTCTTACTTTTCATTGTCGTTTGTAGTGGGTATAGTTGTATGATTCATTTTACTTAATAAACACAGTTTTAAACAGAGCACTCTGCTCTTGTCAAATAATATGTTCACTATTTTTTTTAGGCTTTTGATGAATTACCACATTATGCTTTGTTAAAAGAACTCTTAATTCAGGTAAATATCTTTTCTAGAGAGCATTTTTGGTGATATAAGTGTGTGTCTTCTTTTGGACTTTTTCTTAACTCAGCTATCTAAAACTAATATATACATGTTATATTGTAAAATCAGGAACGTATACTTTTTTCCTAGATTTTTAGTACACCACGGTATCATCCCAAAAGCCAGCCATTTGTGGACCATGTGTTTACGTTCACCATTTTGGATAACAGGATATGGTTTCGGAACTTTCAGGTTAGCTTTAATTAGTTTTTAATTATACTTTGAAATAAATTAGGACAAATAGCGCCATTATATATTTACTACATATTTAATTTTGTAAAAAGAAATTAATCTGAAGATCCATGAGGTAATTGAGTTCCAGATTTATGCTAGGTGCTGTTAAGGATGTAAGTTTCTCTCAAGAGGTTAGACTCTATCTGGGGCGAGGGGAGGGTAGTGATTAAGACTTAGAAAGACAAAACCTCTGCAGAAAGCATTTATTGAGAAGTATTTGATGAGTCATACAGTAGTGACTCAGGAGGAGAGGTGATTCTGGAAATCTTGAAGCAGGAGTTTGGCAGGATAATAAGCTTGCAGAAAGGTGGAGAGGTAGAAAAGAACACTAAGACAAAATTTCAGATGGCATATGAATTAAACTGGCCTTGTCCTGTGTTGCTATATTGGATACCCTGCAAAGTGAGTTAAACATATTCTCTTCTTAACCTCTGAGGGCAGACATACCTGAGCCAATACACAGTGTTAATATTTGTAGTTCAGAAGTTGCCTCAATTCATTAGCCACTCAAAAATAAATTCGACTATGTACTATACTTTTATGTACTTTTTAATTTAATTTGAATTGGATTTGTAAAAACAACTTAGGGATTGATTTAAAATTTTAAAGGGTTACCTGTTTTGTGCTTCAGTACATTTTGTTATAGTAGTCGCAGTTGAAAAAATTAATTAGTTTTTCAAGAATTTATACGTTTGAGAGGCATGATGTGAACCAGATTTAAATTACTCAATTTAAAAGGACAGACTGAGAAAATGTTTTTATTTTCCCATGACAGCTGCTTGATTAGTAACAAAATCTGATGATTTGGTGCTTACTAAGTTTCACTTCCACCGTCATTTTCAGTTTTTTTGGGCACATTTGTAATGAGGTTATAGCCATATACCTTTTAGAAATAGTATATTCAAACTAAAATGGAGGTTTTTATTAAAGATCATAGAAGAAGATGCTGCTCTTGTGGAAATAGGACCTCGTTTTGTCTTAAATCTCATAAAGATTTTCCAGGGAAGTTTTGGAGGACCAACTTTATATGAAAATCCTCACTACCAGTCACCAAACATGGTAAGCTGTTTTTGTTGTTCATTGGTCTTCAATGCCCCAAAACTCTGGCCAAAATAATTCTGTCAAGTAATTAACTATTTTGTTAACTGTGAAACTGAATTTGGTTTTTGCTACATATTGTTTTGCAAATTACTAATTTTTTAATGATACAGGGTAATGAGAAAAAGGGTTCATAAGTCCTTGCCATATATAAAATGTTTATTTGTATTTCAAAAGCACTTAATATTTTTTTGTTTCTAGCATCGGCGTGTCATAAGATCCATCACAGCTGCAAAATACAAAGAGAAACAGCAAGTTAAAGATGCACAGAAACTGAGAAAGAAAGAACCAAAGACTATTCTTCCACATGATCCCACTGCAGATGTTTTTGTTACACCGGCTGAGGAAAAACCGATAGAAATACAGTGGGTAAAACCAGAGCCAAAAGTCGATTTGAAAGCAAGAAAGAAAAGGGTTTACAAAAGGCAAAGAAAAATGAAACAGAAAGTGAATAGTGGAAATGCAAAATGAATCAATGGATAACTAATTTGCTTTTCAGTTATTTTATATTTATTTTGTATTCATTGTGTAAATACTTTTATTATCCAGGACTGTCTTATCTAATTAGTGTGGCATTTCAAAGAAAGAAAAATTAAAATCTTGTGGCTTCAGTGGTATCTGTGTTTTTTTAAATAAAACAACACTAGAAGTCATCTGTTTTAATTTCTGTTTTCAAAGCTTATTCGGTATTACTAAAAATTTAGAACAATTAAGGTTTAGGCTTGCACTCTTGGATTAAAAGTTGGTTTAGCAAAGCTGAAATTCAAACAGATTTATTGGGTCAATACTACTTGTAAAACAAAGCATTAGGCATTTTGAAAGCATACTTTCAGATAGTATAGTAGGGGTAGACTGGTAAAAGTATCTTACTGAGGTTTGAGTCCTTGAGTCACCAATTAAAGAAGCCTTGGAAAATCAATCTCTCATCTTGTTTTCTTACCTTGAAGAAGTACAATAAAAATTCTTAGGTTGAAAGCATTTTGTACATTACAAATTTATTTTAGAAGTAGTATGTATAGATTTCTTGTTAAATTTCTAATACAAGAAAAATGGGACAGTTGTTTTAGGGTTCCAGAATATTGGAATTTCTCCCTTTATGAAAGAATTATTTGAAGCAAAGAGAGCCCTGGGTTTACTGTCCTGGAGGTCTG